CTGGTTTCTGAAGCATCAGACCAGGAGAAAGATAATGGTTAAAAGCCTTGTTTGTGTGTTTGTGTTGTGTTTTGTTTTTAGTTATTTTCTTTTTTTTGTTTCGATTTTTTTTTTATTTATTCTTTGAATTTTTTTGTTTTGTGAAATTTTTTCTCTCATCAACACACACATTCACTTTTCTAAAAATGAAAAATTTTCTTTCTATTTTTTCTTAAAATCTTTGATAAGTTTTGATTGACTTCTCTAAAACAGTCAGAGGAAGGGAACTCGTGATTTTGTTTCTCTTTCTCTTTTCTTAAAGAGGTTATTTTACTTTTGATTCAAAATCTTCATCATATTTTAAATTGGATTTTAAAACTGTTTTTCTTTATCTCCCTATATTTTTTCTATCACATAAGAATCTTTTGTAAGATTGTTGAATCCACCTTAAAATTTTCTTAATCAAGTTATTCGTGTTGTCAATAATTTGAGTTTACTTTAGTTTTGAAAATATAAGAAAGAAAGCATATTTTTTGAAAATAATAAAAAAAAGTGGCCAATGATGCCAAATCAAAAGATGCGCAATGACGCCAAATTAAAAAATAATAATAATAATACACAAAGTGTATTAAAAATAAAAAAATTCTCAAAGAGCCATTCAAGTGATAAAGGGCATAAAATGAGCCCACAAAAAATATGCTTATTTTTTCTTATACTACTAAAAGCCTAAGAAAATCATTGATATGTTCGAAACTTGTGCTCTAAAATCTTGGTTCCTGATTCAGCAATTCATGCATTAATCTTCTATTAGATATGTTTTAGGAAAGAAGTTTTGAAAAATTAATGTTTCATTTTTTCCGTTTATTCTTTGATTTGGATATTGGAATAAAATGTTTTTGAGCCTTTAAAAGAACTTGAGTTGGGATTATCAAACTCTGAATTTCTAGCCTTTTCTGGGCTATGCATTGTCAATACAATTCTACTAAGTTTTTGGTTAAAACCAAGAGGTAACTTTCTCATTTTAAGAATATTTATTTTGTTCACTAGATCAGAGATTATTTCTATCTTTTAATCGTTTCATTTTTATGCCCCTTCTCTTTTTGATAATGTCAAAGGGGGAGAACATATTATTGTTGAATTTTTATACTGTTGTCAAATTTATATCTTTTTTTCTTTCAAAAAAAAAATAAAACAACAAAAATATTTTTATCTCCCCTATTTTTAAAGTGTTATTCTAGTGAGCGAGAGATTAGGAGAAAATGTTCCTTTTTGAAAATTTAAATTATAGTGTTTGCCATCATCAAAAAGGGGGAGATTGTTACGGATCTATTTTCATGGTTTATGATTTGATGATAGCAAACACTCTTATTTCTCTACGACTGCCTCATCTACTGACATTTCAAGTCCACACGATCAGACTATAATTTGGAACCAACTCAAGATTGGGTAGATTAGGTCTGAGTCAGTTTGTACTATTTTTCCTTTCTTGAGTCTATTGTATTTGGTGTGGCTCCTGATGCTTTATAACTTGGAAGATTTCTGACTGTTCTCTAGAGTTTACTGTTTTTTGTAACATCGTCCGGGACGATTTTATATCATCCTTGACGATCAGTTTAAAAGAAGAAATTCTAATTAGGGCATCCTCATTAAAGCAGCCGTCATTATACAAAAAATATCGTCTTGGACGATTTTGTATCGGCCAGGACGATAGGCTCAAAACAGAAAGAATCTGCCGCCTGATCTATTTATGAATTACTTATTTTTGGACATCGTCCAGAGGATCGTCCAGGACTATTAAATATAGTCCAGGACGATCCAGGATAATTTTCCCAAAATTTCTCTGGAATTTAAGGAAAGCAATTATGACTTGATTACATGATCAAATCGTCCAGGCCGATACACTAGACAATTGGACATCAGACATCTATATTTCAGGGCGATGTTCAGGATGATATTCCACAATTTGTTCTAATCGTCCAGGACGATATGAACAAATTTCTTCTGATCGTCTCAAATCCCCGGCTGATTGGGCTTAAATTGTACTTATCGTATAGGACGATATACCTATCATCCTGGACGATAATGTCGGCAACTTGCATTAATTAGCTCGTTTTAAGATCTTCTATTTAAGCTTTGACATAACACTTGGTAAGTGTCTTTGGCAGCCATTTTAGCTTTGTTCTTTTGGGGGAAACTTGAAGAGAGAGCTTGAAAGGGAGTTAGAAAAGGGTGGAGTTTGAGAGATGGAGAAGATCCAGTGAGGGGGGACTCAAGGGAGTGCGGAGGGGGTTCCACACTGTTGCTCCGGCAAGCTCGCACATGAATAATGTCGGATTTAAGGCTTGTCTCGAGGGAAGTTCACCAAAGAAGAAGATCTCTTTGGTGTCAAAGGACCCGACGACTCCGCCGCACCGAGGAAGGTGGAAGTGATTTTGTAAGAGCTTCTCCGCCTAGCTGTGGGGCTAAATGAGAGACACTTAATTTAGTGCAATACTTGGAGGGTGCCTCCAAGGAGTAGACGTAGGTCAAGGTTTGACCGAATCATTATAAATCCGGTGTGTTCTTTCTTTATTACTTTCGCATTTAATTTTCGCACTTTGATTTTTATTGTGGTGATATTGGTTTTGATTTGTGTTTTGATTGAAAGATATTTTTTACCAATTCACCTCTATCTTTTAATTAGCCTTTGGGACCGATTCATAGGGCCTAACATCCCTATCGAACTATCACAAACAGTTCAAAAAACCAGGGCTTCATTTTGTATGAACTTGGATGAACTCATTTTTGTACACTATTACTTATATATACAAATTAATATCATATTGTATGAATAGTTCAACAATAAATGTGTTTGTTTGGTACGATCTGGTATGAACCTAATTTCGTACGTTATTAGTCATCTATACAAATGGAAATCGTACTGTATGAATAGTTTAAAAATAAATGTGTTAGTTTGGTGCGATCTGATATGAACCTAATTTTATACTCTATTAATCGTATGTATGAATAGTTCAAAAATAAATATGTTCGTTCAATATGATCTGGTATGAACTTAATTTCATACTCTCTTTCTATCGTGTATGACTTAACATCTTATAGTACGAACAGTAAAAAATTCAAGCCATGATTTGATTAACTATATTTTGGAAAAAAACTATATTAAATAATATAATACGAATAGTACAGTATGATCATTCTTAAAAAAAATTATCACTCTCCCCTTGTGTGCGTATATGATTACCAAATTACAATCACAATTACTCAGACTCAAGAAATAAAAATATAAATATACAGACTCTATTACATGAAATCGTATTCTACCCTATCTTGAAGTCTTCAACAATCTAGAGTAGTATATGATTTTTCTGAAATATTAGTACACACAGAAATAAACATAAATATATAATATATGCTAGGAGAAATAATAAAATCATAATAATAATATTTTGTTATCATCAAAAATCACAATCTCAATCTTAATTCCTGAGTTGCAACATTCAATATTACACTCTTCTTGGGAGCCTAGAAAATCTCTTTTTTTTTTCATTTAGATCTCCAAATAATTAAAAAAAGTTTCATTCTTTTTTTTTTCTCTTTAGATTTAAACTCATAACTAAAGTGTCAATAAATTTATACCAATTTAAAGTAATTATTTATTAAGCCATGATACTATCCTTACAAAAAAAAAAAGAAAACCATCTACCTCCTTTAATACGATAATATAAATCTCGATATTTACCTTGTGAGCAAAAAAAATTAAAGATAATAAAAAATGTTGTTGTGTACCATAACATTCATGGGGTAGAAAGAGAAAGTATTTAATGTATTAACTTATACAAATACCTAACACATACATATAAGGAAAGTGTTGCAATAGACACCAGCTTTTCCATATAGGAAACTTGAAAAAGGCAAAAAGCATGAGGCTTGGCCCAAGTGAAGCAAGAGTTTGAAGTCAAACAATACTGGTTAGGAGATTGTAAGAGGATAGAAGTCGAGAACCAATAGTTAGAGGACTAAGTCGAGAAACATTGGGCAAAGGTTCATGGTTCGGTGATGGTGGTAAGACGACTCTAGTCAAACATTAGTGGTTAGATAGTTGCAACGTAATGATGGTGGACAAATAACAATGGTTTAAAAGACATTGATAGTGGTCAAATGATGATAGCACAATTTGACAATCAGGCAATGGTCAAGTGATGATTACTTACGTGGAATTTTATGATTCTTCAATTTTTTCAGCTTTATTAAATCTTAAGCTATATCCTTAATTAAGAGTGAAAATCAATTTATAAATTTTGATATTAACAAGTCTCATAAATACAACCAAAATCTAAAAAGATCCATTAGACGACTCATTTTGGTTCCGTATTATTTTTTCATCATTTAATTTTCTTATCTATGTCAAAATTAAACTATTTCAAAGTTGTTGGATGACACTCAATTTATCTAAATATGTACTCAAAATTGGAGATGGTAAGTCCTTCAATTAATATCCCAAAAATTTTCCATTGTATTTCAAACATTTAATTTAGATTTGTTCAATCTCTAAATCACTCTTATTCAATCTCTAAATCACTCTTAGTGCAAAGAAATTAATCGAATTAAAAATTATAATTGACATTTAGATTTTATTAAATTTGATTTATTGTATAAATCTTTACAAATGTTACTAGGTGCACAAAATTATATAATTTAATTTAAGTGATGACCTGGACCAATGAGAATCTCCATGTTAGCTTATCACACCTAATGTAACGACATCCAAAAAGCAACTTTCACAACTAATATTCTCATAATTAATCTAATTTTTTCATGATTTTTATTGAACCCTTCGTAAGTAGAAGGGCCCTTCCAAAAATTGGCGGGCAAGAGCCGACCAAAAGAGGAGGGCTCCCGCTCGCCTTGTAATTGTGTTCGCGTTTTAGGTGTCGGCACGACTTGTCGTCTCAATACGATCATTGGCAAGTCGCCTCTCACCCCATAACAGGACGGGCGACCGATTAGAACGTTCTACCTGGATATTTATAGCCACATCGAACATTCAAAATTCTCTCTTGGCAATGTGGTATTATTATCATTCAATTCCCCACCAGCGCGACATGAAGAAACTTGAGTAAACCCTACTCTCTGGAAGAAAGCTCAGCTTGAAGTACCCCGCATTAGAGGGGAAAGGGATGCGAATTTATTTTCATATGGATATCTTGATTCCGCAGATTTGCTAGGTTTGCTTTTCCCTTCTGTTGCTCTTCGACATGGCCTCCTTCGCGAGACAGGTAGAGTTTTAAACGAGTAGCTAAATAACTTATTCGCCTCCTTCGACGACGTTCCTTCCTGTCGGATCCAAAATCACACCTCGCCGTTCGTTTGTTCGATCGGAAGTAAAGACGACGACGGGAGCTTGCTCGTTGCGAAGGTAGCCATCTTTCTTCCGGTCGCGCGCTTCTTAGCATAAATCCTGTTGCCACACAGCCCCTTAGGGTTTCAGGATCCAACATTCTACGAATTTCTTGGGAAATTTGACTTTTTATTTCTCATAATATTCGTATTCTTCTGGTTTCGCGAGGAGAATTCCTAAGAAGCAGCCTTGCTTAATCGGTTGAGATCTCTAATAGACATTTGCTTGATTCATTTCTTGTTGTCCTTTGGATTGACTCTTACTTAAAGGTTAGATTTTTTTTTACATATATAGAAGGGTTTTTTTCTGGTGCAGAATTTACAAAATGAGAACGGAGGCAAACCCTAACTATCTTGAGCATTTATCAACTGAGGCTGTTGAGATGATCCAAGATGAGTGCAAGTATGCCTTGCAATTTATTAATTTCATTGAAGTTCGTTTTTATCATCTTTTTAATGTTTATAGTTTTTTCATCCTAACCATTTATGAAAGTGAATTTAATGATTTACTTTTAACTAATTTTTTTTTCTTTGTGGTTCAACTGTATAGATTGAATGGAAACGGAAGCAATGCGCTTATTTTACCTGGGAAGAAAAGGAACAAAACAAAAGGCAAGGACAAGGTATTAACTAATGATTATTTTGTATAAACTACTGGTGCATCCCAGCCCCACCTCCATGTCTAACTGGTTGTTTTTTTGGAACTACAATTGAAAAAAATTATTTTTATCAGATTTTTAGGAGGAATAAGGCTATGGCTTCCCCAGCTATTAGTAAAAGCAAGAAGAGAAAGTTTCAAAAGTTGCAGGTCTGCTTGAATTTACTTCTGAATTGCTTTGATTGCAATGCTCTAGTACTGTGTGTTGTGCTTATTATTATTATTACTATTATTTTAAAATGAATTACAGGAGGAGAAAGAGAAGAAGTTCATGCTATCTAAAAGCATAAGGGTGCTGCAGTATGTCATCTGCATAACTTCATGTTCCATATCTAGATCTGTTAATTCTTATTATCTTTTTGCCCTTTTTTGCTTTATTTTAGCATGTAAACGTGCTTCTATTTGCTTTTCATAAAATGTTTATTTATATTGGGTTCCTCAGGAAGTATAAAATAAGGGATGAAGCATACTCAATTCTGCAGTCATCAGGCACTATTGGTCAGGTATGCAACTAATGTGTTTTTTTTTACTTATTGGGTAACATTTTTGCAATGAAAACTTCATGCGCCTATAAATTGGATTTCAGGAAAAAACTCAGCGTGAAAAATGCAGACTTGCTGTACATTTCGCAAAAGCAGGTCTTGAGGTCCCCGAAAATGTGGCACTTTTCAAGAAGAAGGAAAAGAAAACTTATGAAAATGTAGTAAATAGACCTGATCAAGGCAAACTTACAGTTTACAGTGACAAAGAGTTGAGTTTGATGAAACTGGTGGAAAAGGATGATTGCGTTGGTTTAACTCTTAAGAAATTGGTTGAGAAAGAAAATTATGATGGTTCATCTCTTGTGAAATCCTTAGAGAAAGATATGAACAAAGTTTTAGCTCTTGCTAGGCCTATGATGACTACTTATGGTTCCCAACAAAATTCTCTAGAACCCCATTCGGAGTTCACTATTAAGAATTCAATGAGTGTGAATGCTGAATCAGATATGTTGTTCTCATCCCTTAATTGTGCAACAAAGGTTAGCGTTAGCGTTGCGCATGAAGTTATGAAGAGCTCCATACCAACATCATTTACAACTGACAATCAAAGTGATGCAAGTCTTCGGGTGAGTACTAGCGCTTGTGTAACACTTTTCATGAAATTTACATCCACTTTGGTTCTTTCTTTAATCTTTAATGGTTTCATTTCCTTTTTTTCACTGTAGCATGGAACATTGATTGTTTTCTCTTTTTATGTCAGTATAAGTCATTGTCTTCCTTCTTATGGCATCCATGGGCTTACAAATAAGTTAGTTTTCTTATTTAAATTGCATCTACAATCTCTTGATATCTTGCATACCAATGAGATATTACAAGAGAGATTCAAAACATGTTAAATAGATTTTTGAGAAATATATGTTTAAATATAATTGTCCCTACCTCAATAATAGGGGATAGTGAGCCATCAAAATTATGACTATGAGATTCTCAAGAGACAAAGTATAAGATGAGAATAGTTGAGCACATCATATCATGTGGTTTAATGCTCATGCTTTAACTATCCAGTATTCCCGACCTCTCTTAGTACAACTAAGAGCAAGAGAAAAAGAACCTCTCAGGCTAAAAGCGAGGAGCCAATAGTTTTCTTTGGAGCGAGCAACTTATATGGTAGATCCAATTATTGTTTGTTCAAGGATATATTGCCTCTTTTTTTATGTTTGTTACTTCCTCTCTAGGTTGTCTTTGTGTTAGTTCCTAGGATTGATTCAATTTGCTGGCTTATCGTGTAATTTCCAACAAGTTTCTCTTGAGTGATTAGTCCTTTAATAGAAATCAAACCAAAATTTACACTTTTTTTCCATACCTTGAGCCATGCACGGAATTTTGTTTCGTACTCTTGACGGTGAGAGCAGATTCTTTAGGTTTGAGATTATTCTTGGTACCTACAAGTACAATCTTTCATTTGCTTTCCTTGCTTCAAACTTCAGCTAAGGCTTCTTCAATTTTAGGAAGTGGACAAATGTCAAGAATTCTACCACGAACTTCATCAAGGTCTTTATTGAGACTTGCAAGGAAGTTGTGTGTTCTAGTTTTTCCCATGAGTGAGTTGTATTTATCAGCACACTACTTGCTTGAATCGTTTGTTTATTGCCAAATTTTTGTGAGTGTGGAGAAGTATTTAATAATACTCATGCTTCCTTTTTTGAGGCCATGAGATGGTCTCATAATTTTCATAAGTTAGCGGAATTTTCAAAATCGGATTACACCATGTTAGCTTTCTCTCACATTACTTGTGAGCTGTTGTAGACTAAGTATAGGGATCCAATAAACTCTTTCATAGAATTGATTAGCTAGGATATTACCAAGGTGTTTTTGATATCTGATGATGGAAAGGAAGGGCTTCCCATTTTACGTTGATGAATGGTACCATTTAGGTAATTTGTTTTACCATTTTCTTGGATTACAATTTGAACCAAGCAAGACCATTGAAAGAAATTCATCCCATTTGGTTGCTGGAAAATTTACAAAGATGAGTGCCATATAGAGACTCGTGGAATGGAGTTGTGGCTTGGCAAGGTGGAAGGAGGATATATTTTATTTCCTGCTTTTATAGACTCGGCAAGGGTAGTTTTGTAACCATTGACTATAATTTAGATAGTACTTGTCTTTGATACCATGTTAATAAAGAGAGTAGAATAGCGATAAGGGAGAAGAGTTAGAAATACTCATTTTTTATTATTTAGCCCAAAAAGACTTCTGAAGTGTTTTGCAATGAGGAAAATTGAAAAAAAAAATAATAATAAGTACAAAATTTTCATTAAATAAAATGGTCATCTTATCTACTATATCAGGACAAAACCACAAATAGTAGATAAGGAAATCTAGGGATGGTGGAGTGTCCATGTCAGCTATCCATGTGACCTTCCCACAGCCAAGGATTTTGTCTATCTTGTTTGGTGACCACCTAGGCTTCTACCCTATCCCACATATTGTTGAGGTGGCTTTGGCTTCCATTCCTATTCTGGATTTTAGCCATGAGTGGGGATTAATTGCTTTAATTTATTTAACAATGTGAATAATAATTAATAAATATTACTATTTTTTAGTTAACTTATATCAAATTTCTTGATGCAGAATTGTACCTTGCATTCACTTAGAAAGACTAGAATTAGAGCTTAAACTCATTCTATGAGAGAAGGATCAGTGTAGTTAATTATTTCCTCTAGTATATGCATAGAATGAAGGAAACATACAAGATGAAGTTGTCACTCCCTGTACTTACTAAGAGTCGATTACCTATTAAATTTTACACATTTTGAAACTCAAGTGAGCGTGCATGGCTATTGAGTTGATATGTGAGAGGCTATTGAGTTTATATGTGAGGAAATACCTCATTGTTGCCCTTATTTTAGGAGCATTAGCATAAAATAAATGGATATATCAACTATTTACTTCGTTGGTCTATCTCCTTTTGTTACATGCACTTAGTAGTAGCTCAACCATTGTATTATGACGGTCATCAATATTGTGAAGCACTTATTGTTCCTCTTTCTTTTTCACTATTTGGATGTTCAACGCATATAAGAGTTTTGAAGTTCTAGTGATCATTGACGTTTAGATCAAATCTGAAGTGTTTTGAATTTTATTCTCTCTCTCAATAATAATGGAATTGGCATTGCAATTAGAAGAGTTACTTGGAGTATTAGAAATGACATTTTTTATTAGATTTAAATGAAAAGTTGACTATTAACATGACACAATAGAGAAAAATGATTTAAGTAGCCAGGCCACGTAGGCTGATAAAGGCATGATGTTGTTGTTATTTTACTTGGAGCTTTTTTCCTTTAAAAATCATGCATTACTCTCCGTATTTTTTTTATATAGATTTACATTATTAGTAAATAATGCTTTAAATCTTTATTTTATAAAATCATTATATGGTCTTGTGTCTAGAGTGTCTAGTTGATCAATACCTATTTTTATCAAGTACCTCCTTTCACAACATCCTTATAAACAGCAATGTACCCGTTTTTCATACCTTCAAACAACTTGGAACATGTGTTATTGAGGCATGTCTATTGTTTTGTATTTTTATTGTACCCAGTCTAAGCATGTGGCCATGGTTGGCTGCTTTTCCTACTTGCTAGTTCCACTATCTTGCAAGATTTCATGAAAAATCATCATCATCATCATCATTGGCCTTATCCCAATTATTAGAGGTCGGTTTTATGAACCTTCTAAGTGTTGTTGGAGTTAAACTTATACTTTGCTAATCATTTCAAATAGATTCTATACATGTACTCTTGAGCCTGCTGTTTTTTTCTTCCCTCATACAATGAAAAATGTAATTGTAAGTTCCCTTAAATCTCACATATCATTTCTAAATGTTAGGCCCTCAGATAGCTGATCCACATCTAGAAATTTTGTCCCTCTCTCTCTCTCTCTCTCTCTCTCTCTCTCTCTCTCTCTCTCTCTCTCTCTCTCTCTCTCTCTCTCTATTATTGCATGAAGCAGTGGCCTGATTTTGTTTCTCTTTTTTGCCTGGAGCAGAGTGCAGATAGGTCTAATATATGTGTTGGAAAACTTGAAGCCCCTAAGCTTTGTGGCACCAGTGACCATGTAAATTCAGCCGTTGTGGTGCATGTATCAAGACCACTTGAAGTTCAAGAGAAAAGGAGACATCTTCCAATCATTATGATGGAACAGGAGATAATGGAAGCAATAAATGAGCACCCTATTCTAATTTTATGTGGAGAAACAGGTTGTGGTAAAACCACGCAGGTTCCTCAGGTGTCCTTTCTTAGATTCTTCTAATAGAATGTTGAAAATTTGAAGTGAGGATAACATTTCATCTTTTATATGATATATTTTACCTGTTGCAATGACATGTTGCAGTTTTTATATGAAGCTGGCTATGGTTCAAGCAACCAAAGTGGCAGAAAGGGAATTATTGGTATTACCCAGCCACGCCGTGTTGCCGTTCTTGCTACAGCAAAGAGAGTTTCCTACGAACTAGGTCTCCAGCTCGGGAAGGGGGTTGGTTTCCAAGTTAGGCATGACAAAATGATTGGAAATGGTTGCTCAATCAAGTTCATGACTGATGGCATTTTACTTCGGGAAGCTCAGGTTCCTTGCTAAACTTTGATTTATTTCTATGTACCTTTAATGATAGTTCAAGGAGATTTTGGTATTTTAACTTCTCTTCATATAACCTTCGCAGTTATTATCTTGCTCTTGAAATGTCATTTATGTTGTTATTGTTTATCTGTCAAAAAATCATATCGAACTTGATTCTAAAGACTGCTGTAGATGTATTTGTGTTTATTATAAACTTTTTTGAAGACTTCAATGTAGAACTAAGGATGAGTGATTGAACTCTAAGACTATCTTTTAGTTGGTTAGTATGTGTCATATGATTTTTATCTAAGATACCAACATATTTGTTTACTTAGGTATTAGCTGTAAAACCCTTCAAAAAGCTGTTTTTTTTTAGTGCAGTTCGTCTGTACGAAATGAATTTAGTACTGGACGAACTGAAGAAATTTGTGAAGAAATCTGTCATTTTCGTCTGTACGAACCTGGAGCAGTCGGGACGATCCATCAGGACGAAAATTGTCCAGAGAGAAATCATCCGGACGATAATTAATTTCGTCTGTACGAAATTATTCCAGAGAACACATCGTCCCGGGACGAAAATTGGATCGTCCGGGACGATCAGTGTTAATAAATATCCGATTGAGATATTTTTATTCATTTCGAAGAGAGAGAAGGAGAAGGAAAGAGAGAGAAAGAGAAGGAAGATAAGGAAAAGCTTGGTTTTGGAGCCCGCGGAGCGCTTTTCGTCCGACGGCGCTGTTAGAAGATTTGTTTGTATCGCAGTAAGGACTCTGAATCCTATTTCTGTTTTCGAATATTTCGAGTTTTGATATTTCTGTGCTCAGATTTGTGTTTTCGTTACCGATAAAAGCGCCGCATTTTGTAATGACGAAACTTTCTCCGCATAACTTTTGGTATGTTGTAAATGTGATTATTCTGCACGTTTTAAGTATTGAATAATTGGATTGACTGATTTGTAAGAGTACGTTCTGATACGAGTCTCTTATTGAATTGATTTGATGCTATGGATTGCTATTGACTGGAATAGATATTCAATTGATTGGATGGATATTATAGATACAATGGAATGACTAGACGACACGACTGATTGAACTGATAGTATTGATTGATAGACACTGCTACGATGGATAGATATTGACTGAAAGCACTTACTGATTTGATCGCTGTGACGTATTGATTTATTGATCCTTTTGCCGTCGTATTGACTATTGATTATTGATTGATTCGATTTGATTTGATTTCTGTATCTGTATAGATTCATTGATCATAGTCTTTTGACTTGATTTGATTGACCTGCATATTGTTTCAGTGTCGTGCTTTGATTTCAGTTGTAGGCTTTGGTGACCTGCTGGGCTAGTTAAACTCATTATATGTGGTTAATATTTCAGGTGCAGAGCCTCCCGCATGATGCTTCTTCGGTTGCTGTAGCTTTATTTTGTAGCCTTGGTAGACTTCTGTTTTGTAGCCGTATTGCTATTGCATATGACCTTTTGGACGCTTCTGCTGATTGTATATATGTTGATATGTGAATTATAATCGCTGTTGTTTTCTTCTCTGTAATGTAATTATCTCTGGCTCTGGATAGACACATGTATGGATTGAAACGAACAACTGATAGAAAGATATCGAAAAAAAAAAAGAAAATGAACGATTAGATGAATCTTTTCGCTACACGGATCTTGGGGTCGTCACATTAGCAGTCTTAATTGATGGGATTTGCTCTTTAGATTGAATATTCTACTCCGTTTGCTTGGTTGATTACTTTCCATTTCCAATGATAGTCAACTAGTTTTCTATGCAAAATTATGGTATAATTTGTTGCTTTATCAAACATCCAAAAGCATGTGTGATTTCTTATCAGTTTAAATGTGTAGCATTGATGATATTAGAAGCACGTCATTCTTTTCTCCTAGATTAATGCATAAAGAAGCATTCAAAAAACTGGAAGACATCTTTTCTGTTTTTATAGGTATATAATTTGATAAAATATTGTACAAATGTTATTTGATTTGTTTGAAGTATTTTAGGAGTTGAACCTAAAGTAGTTGTTATGTAGGACGTTTGAGGGTCTAGGATTTACTAATGCAATCTAAGATGAGATGCATTATAAAAATACGAAAAAATCACAATCCATAAATTACGTATTCTTAACTTTAGCCACAATTAGTCACCCAAGATTAGAATTAAGGAAGATTGAAATTTTATTTTAATGCTCAATAGTCAATCACTTATACATGCATTGGGGTCCTTTTTTATAGCATATGAAAGGCTCAAAAATATGTAACTCATAATCCTCTAAGATCTAATAGAAAAAAATTCTTGTTTTTATATCCATACAAGGCTTAAACAGTAGAAATCAGCTTTAGGTTTCTTAATTTTCATATTTTTATATCCATAGAAGAAAAACAAGATGCAGCAAGGTAGTATACAACATCAATTATCCCACTACGATAACAAATTAGTGACAATAAGGAAACTAATTAGCGATCTAGGATAATAGCAAATCAGCGCTATTCTTGGGAATTAGCATTCAAGGAAAATAACGGGTCTGTTGTTGTAGCAAATAAGCATAATATTAAGTTTAGTGTTGCAGAGATGAGCATGCTCAGGTGGATGAGTGGCTTTACTCTCAGAGACAAGATACGAAATGAGCTTATACGTGAAAAGGTTAGAGTAGTTCCAGTGGAAGATAAGATTAGAGATAGTCGTCTGAGATGGTTGGTCACATAAAATGGCGGCCTTCCGATCACCGATGACCCGGTTAGGAATGTGGATGTATTATATTTGACTTATGTTAAGAAATGTAGAGGTAAATCTAAAAAGGCTTGGTTATAAAATATCAGAAATGGACTTTCTTTATTAGATTTAAATGATAATTTAACTTTTAACATGGCACAATGGAGAAAAAGGACTCATGTAGCAAACCTCACGTAGTGGGATAAAAGATTGATGTTGTTGTTGTTGTTGTAGTAGCAAATAAGTGATCCTTAAGATGTTAATGGGCGTGAACCAATTAGTGAAAAGGAGTAATCTGCTTGGCTTGGAATGGTTTGCATTAGGTTTTATTTGGGAAAATTGCTGAAAATTATTTATTCCCAAGAATTGGTGGTAGTATATGCCTGTAAACTAAATTCTTTTCTTTTCTTTTTTTTTTTTTTTTTTTTTTTTTTTTTTTTTGCGCAGTTGCTTTAAATTGAAGTTTCTGGAAAATGGTTGAAGAGTATATATCACTGTCCTTATTTTTTGTCCAAAAAGGAATATTGGACGAGCTGATGATGAAGAGATGGTTCTTGTTCTAGTAAACCTGATTTTTAAAACAGAAGTTTTGTTCTTTTGGATTCTAGGACAAGTTACAGTGGTTGACAACCATTGTCATGATATTCTTGTCCAAATTTTCATGTTTTTGCAAATAGGGATTATGTAAATTGCATTGTGCAGCCTTGGTCGAAGATCTGGAGATGAAAGAAAATAATACAGCTCAAATTCCTGTAACTAATGCATTATGGTTGTGGAAAGTATTTAGTTATGTTTCTTTGGAGCAGGATTTCAGGTCACATAAAAACAATCAAACAATATGTATACTTTTCAGTATTTCCCTTTACTCAGGGGATGTGATATTACTTAGTAGAGCGTATGGAGCGTGGATTTTGGTTTTATGGAAACTATTATAGTTTATTGTTTGAACAAAATGATTAGAAGTCCTAAAGAATAGAAAAAAATCTTTAAATTAGCTCAAAAATAACTTTGTCTAATGTAGCTGTAAGATAAATTACATGGTAATGATTGTAAATACATCTTTGTTCATAATTCTATCATCATTATAATCCTTATCCCAACTTTTTTTTGGATACAGTATGATCTGAAGTTAAGTCATCTAAAAATTTCTAACATTTTTATCTAAAGATGGCAGCCTTAAATTTCAGGTTGATCGAAATTGATTAGTTGCTTGGTCAGGATGCTAATTCTATTGAAACGGCTGAAATTAAGACTTTTGGTCCATAAAGCAGCTCAAACAAATAAACTGGCTGTAGCAAAGTGATCATCAGAAACAGGAAGTATAAAGTGAATGGATAAGAGATCATCAGACCAATGTAGCAGCTTTGTTGTGAGAAGTTAGGATGGAAGAATTTGCCCTTTGGCAGTGATTCAACATGTATTTAATCACAAGGAATAAAAGTTGCCACAATCTTCTGATGACACTCTTATCTACACAGAAGTGACTATAATGCTTAATATTGCTGGTTATTAGTTTTTTTTAATGAAAATGATAGCACATTATATTTTTGCATATTTTTTATTACAATTTATGAAACAATGAATGTTCTATCATATGTTAATTCCCAATGGTTGAATAGTTATGCATCCCATGACGTTGGTAGGTAATGTTCCTGTAACATTGATATTGCTTTTTTTTCTAAAATCTTTTCCCTATAAGGTATATGTACATAATATATTCTTTCAGTGAGAATGTTGATTAATGAACTGCCTGTTCTGCAGAGTGATTTTCTATTGAAGCGTTATTCTGTCATCATTCTGGATGAGGCTCATGAGAGGAGCTTGAACACGGATATCCTCATCGGTATGCTGTCTCGGATCATCAAAATACGTCAGGTAAGAAGTGGTGGCATTAAATCTTTTATGTAACTCATCATTGCCTAAACTTTATGGAACTTTACACTCACTAATATTCATCATAGGAGTTATATGAGGAACAGCAGAAAAAGGTACTTTCAGGTGCTAAGATCAGCCCTGAGAAATTGGTTAATAGACTAAAGCTTGTACTGATGAGTGCTACCCTCCGTGTCGAGGATTTTGTTTCCAATAAGAGATTGTTTCATGAAGCACCACCTGTTTTGGAAGTTCCAGTTAGGCAATTTCCAGTCACCGTCCACTTCTCAAGGAACACACCAGAGGACTATTTATCACAGGCTTATAAAAAGGTTTTGTCTATCCATAAGAGGCTCCCGTCTGGTGGCATTCTTGTGTTCGTCACTGGACAGAGGGAAGTGGAGTACTTGTGCAAGAAGTTGAGGAAAGCTTCACAAAAATTTTCTGAAAATAATGCTAAAAAGAAGATTGATAATGAGAGATCTGCAGGCTTTGAAGTGGATATGAAAGATATTGATGAGGCATTTGGGATGGAAGATAGTTTTCCTGAACAGCAAACTGATAAGCTTTGGTCCTACGAGGAGGATGATGACCTGGAAGAGATTGATAAGCTTTTGTCAGAATCGGAGACGGACAGTGAATCAGTTGAGGACAGCGAAAATGAAAGTTTTGTCAAGAGTCAGGAACAGGATGGGAATGGTTCAGTGCTAGATTTTCTAAAAAATCCTGAGAATCTTTCTTCATTAAAAGCTTCGTTTGAGGCTCTTGCTGGAAATATTCCAAATCCATGCTCCGAAGAAAAGCTACATCTTCATTCTACTTTGCAGACAAAAGTATCTTCTGCAGATCCTGCTACTGCTATTGGGCCATTGTACGTTTTACCCCTTTACGCAATGCTCCCTGCTTCTGCACAGCTTCGTATATTTGAAAAGGTTCCTGTGGGTGAACGAATAATAGTTGTTGCTACCAATGTAGCTGAGACTTCGTTGACAATACCAGGCATAAAATATGTGGTTGATACGGGGAAGGAGAAGGTTAAGAACTATAATTATGGGAATGGGATGGCAAGTTTTGAAATTCGGTGGATAAGTAAAGCATCAGCTGCTCAGCGAGCTGGAAGAGCTGGGAGAATTGGACCCGGCCATTGTTACCGTCTATATTCAGCTGCAGCCTTCAGCAAAGATGATATATTTGCTGAATTCTCCTGCCCCGAGATTTCAAAGATTCCGGTTGATGGCGTCGTGCTTCTAATGAAGTTCATGGGAATTGAAAAGGTGGTAAAAGGAGCAAAACTTCTTCCTTTTCTTTCAATTCTTTTTGTTCTGAACAGCTGCTGTTTTTGTGTTTTCAGGTTGAAAACTTTCCCTTCCCTACTCCTCCCAAGACCTCAGCATTGGAAGAAGCTGAGCATTGCCTGAAGGCCATTGAGGCTCTTGATGAGGATGGCAAGCTTACATCATTGGGAAGGTCAATGGCCCAATACCCCATGAGCCCACGCCATTCCCGAATGATTCTCACCGTGATCAACATTTTAAGAAAGCAGCCTGGCTTTGCCCGTGCAAATTTTGTGCTGGGATATGCAGCTGCTGCTGCTGCAGCTCTAAGCTTTCCAAATCCCTTCCTTATGCAGCTTGAAGGAACCCAAGGAACATTAAAAACTGATATTGATCCAAAACTTGAGGACAATGGTGATGCCAGCGCTCATGACCATGAAGAAAAACTGAGTCGGAAGAAGTTAAAAGCAATGGCAAAAGCGTCTCGTACAAAATTTTGCAATCCAAACAGTGATGCCTTAACTATCGCTTATGCACTGCAGCTATTTGAGCTTGCAGAAAACCCATTTGAGTTCTGTAGGACCAACTCTCTTCACTTTAAGACCATGGAAGAGATGTCCAAGCTTAGGAAACAAATACTTCAGCTGATATTTCATCAGCAAAAACCATGCCACGAAATATCATGGAATCAAGGTGGCTTCAAGGATGTTGAATGTGCCTGGCTTGTCCATTCCACTAAACACCCCTTAGAGATGAATGAAGAAGAGCTTCTTTCTCAAGCTATCTGTGCAGGATGGGCTGATCGAGTTGCAAAGAGAATAAGGACCATTTCAGATTCTATGGAGAAGGAACACAAAGTCCATACAATGAGGTACCAATCATCCGCCATGGATGACACGATTTTTCTCCACCGTCGGTCTTCTGTTTCTCACACAGCTCCCGAGTATGTTGTCTACACTGAACTTATCCACACAAATAGGCCATACATGCATGGAGTAACTGCAGTAAAATCAGATTGGCTTGTGATATATGCTAATTCTACCTGCTGCTTCTCTGCTCCACTCACGGATCCAAAGCCTTACTATGAACCTTTAAGTGATTGTGTCTTTTGCTGGGTAAATCCCACCTTTGGTCGGCACAACTGGCAGCTTCCATTACATAACTTACCCATCAAAGACGAAAGTTTTCGGATCTCGGTGTTTGCTTGTTCCCTTCTTGAAGGGAATGTACTTCCATGCCTTAAAAGTGCTAAGAATTTCTTGTCTGCACCTCCATCAAGCATACTGAGGCCTGAAGCATTGGGACAGAGAAGGATTAGTGATCTCTTGAGCAGATTAAGAATCCGTTCTGGAATAATCCATAGCCGGGCTAAGTTGAAAGAGGCATGGGGTGAGAATTCTATGTTTTTGTATCCGGAGCTTCTGAATTGGTTTCAGGAAAAATTTCATTGCCAATTTGACAAATTATGGGAACAAATGCTACAAGAAGCTCAACTTGAAAGCTTTGAGCTTTTTCCAAAGAGAGCAAAGAAACATAGGAAAATTGTAAGACGATAGGAAATATTTAGTTACTGGTTACCAATTTTTCCTAAGTTTATAGCACTTATGTAAGTTTAGAAAGTTAATTTACATATTATTTTATCAAATGAAAGGTAAGTAACTTTAGATCAGGTTTCAATCATTTGTCTTTGCGAGTTATTGTTGGCTTTAGCGTTATGGGATTTTCCATTTTTTCTAACCATTTAGCTGCATTTTAATTGTCAAATATATTCAACTAATATGAATTACAGAAGCACTGAATGTCATCAAATGATCTCATGAAGCTTTCAAATTCAAAATTTATAGAGATTCAAGTTGGTCAGAAAAATTTCATGAGGATAATAACATAATTTTATAAATTAAAAAAATTATAAGATGATTTATATTCCATTGACTTCATTAGTCGTATAAGAAAGAAGCAAGCATCGTCATATTTTTGAAATCACACGTGCTCTACTTCATAAAGCCACCTGACCCCAAAAATTTTGGTTACATGTTGTCCTCGCTGCCGTTCATGTCATCAACTGCTTACCATCCCTTTCCAAGAAATCATCTTCAATGTATTACTTAATCTACAATCAACTACCTAATTACACTGTTTCTTAAGACATTTAGTTGCCTTTGTTAGGGGGTCAATTCAGGTTAACGGGTCGGGTTCGGGGCGAACCCGAAATTGATCTGGCACTATTCAGGGTCAACCCGAACTCGATATGTTTTTAAAAACGGGTCAGATTTTCGGACACGAACCAGACCTGATTCGGGTCAGGGTCAACCCGACCTGACAAGAATGACTCGGGGCTGACCTAAAATTGTTAGTTTTCTGGTAAAAAATCGGGTCAATCTTCAATTTTCGGGTCAAAAACAAGTAAAAAATGGGTCGATCTCAGGTTTTCAGGTCAAATACGAGTTTTCTTATCAATTTTGGGTTGCTGGGTCAACCTGAACCCGACCCGATTTTTAAAACGGGTTGATTTGTTGAATCCGAGCCCGACCCATTTCGGGTCCAGGTTGACCCTAACCCGAATTTTTTTGGGTCCGGTTTCCAGTCGTGTCAAAAATTGACACCCCTAGTCTTTGTTATCCTTTTCTACCTCATATATTTCCAAATAAATTTCAATCTAAATCCTAACCATGTGTCGTTATAGGCTATGCTTCTCACACTAAAGGCTACATGTGCTTTCATATAGAATCAGAAAAAATCTTCCCTTCTCGTCATGTAAAATTCATTGAATTTATCTTTCATTTATCACAACAGCCTTCTTCTGATACACCTTAATCGATTATGCACTCGTCTTATACTCCTCCCTATATGTTTGTTCCTTCTATTATTCAAACATCTACCTCTCCACCATCCAAAAAATTCTCTAGCTCTTCTCTGCATAATAATTCTGCCTCCTATCCTCTTCCCTCTCCACCAATAATTCCTCCATCTCCCTCTGCTTCTTCTGATGAACTTCCTTCTCCACAACTAAATTTTCCTCTCCACCATCCAAAAAATTCTCTCTTCTCTGCATAATAATTCTGCCTCCTATCCTCTTCCCTCTCCACCGATAATTCCTCCATCTCCTTCTACTTCTTATGATGAACTTCCTTCTCCACAACTAAATTTTCCGACTACAACCTCCAATCCTCTCCTGTTCCACTTCTCGAACCAGCTCCACCTTCAACCCACTCATTGCATCCAATGGCCATTCAATTTCAAATAGGAATGCATAAATCTAAGCACATTATTAGTATGAATGCTCTCCTATATCGTCTGATCAAACTTCTTACGCTGAAGTTGTCAAAACTTTAGTTTGGAGACGAGCCATGTCAGATGATTTTTTTGCTCTTAAACAACAATCAACTTGGAGATTGGTTCCTCCTAACCCCATACAAAATGTATTGGGATGTAAATCGATGTAGGAAACAAAATTAAACACTGATGGCCCTATTTCAAAGTATAAGACTCGGCTAGTGGCTCAAGGGTGCTATTAGCAATTTGGTTTGGATTATCTTCACACTTTTAGCCCTATTGCCAAACTACCTACTATTCAAATTTTACTTGTGGTTGCTACTACATTCAAGTGGAAAATTCTTCAACTTGATGTGTCAAATGCATTTCTTCATGAGGAACTCAAAGAGATTGTTTATATAGCTTAACCTCTTAGTCTTAAAGATTCTTTACATCCTGATTATGTTTGTCTTCTACAAAAATCTATCTATGGTTTGAAACAATCTCTGAGACAATGGCTTGAGACATTTTTCACCTACTTACTCAATTATGGATTTACCCATAGCACTGCTGACCCCTCCTTATTGATCTATCATAAGCAATCCATTATTCTATATATACTTGTATATGTAGATGATATATTGCTTATTAGCAATGATGCCAACAATATTACTAGTCTACTGGCCGGTCTCTCAAGCCATTTTCATATGAAAAATCTTGGCCGAATATCTTACTTTCTCGGCATGCAAGTCTTACACTCAACACAAGGTTTACATTTGTCTTAGTCAGCATATGCTGCTGATATACTTCACAAGGAAGGTATGGCCAATTGCAAGCACATCTCCTCTCCAATCCCCTCCAAATTCATAATAGATCCAGACGTTTCTGCACATGTTCTTACCTCGACTATTGCAGATGATTTTTTTACTTTTTGTTGGATCCCTTCAATACTTAACAATTACTCGCCCGGATATTGATTATACAGTTAATAAACTGTGTCATCATATGTCCACATGAGAATGATTTCAAACTCCTCAAACATCTACTTTGTTATATTAAAGATATTCTTTATTTTGGTTTGTCAATTACTGCTAGCACTCTCCGTCTACATGCTTATTCATATTTTGATTGGACTGGTGATCCTCTCGATCATAAATCTGCTATTGGATATTGTGCCTTTCTCGGCAACAATCTCATTTCCTAGCAAGTCAAGAAATAGAAGTGTATCTCACTCATCTACCAAAGAAGAGTACCGTGCACTTGTTACTAAGGCTACCGATATTATCTGGCTTCGTCGACTTCTACATGAGTTTCAAATTCCTCCTACACCTACGGTCCTGCTCTGTGATAACATATCATCTATTGCACTTGCAAACAATCCTATTTTTCATGCCAGGACTAAACACATTGAAATCAATTTTCATTTTGTTCATAAATATATTAAGAACAAGGTGCTCACAAGTTCACGTGTGCATACAATTGATCGACTAGCTGACTTATTTACTAAATTCTTGTCTATCCCTCAGTTTCAAGCGTTTCTAGACAAGCACAACATTTCAGAAGCCAATGTTACCTTACGGGGAGGTGATAAGCTAGCCGACTTATAATTATCAAAATGTGTTTACGCTCACATGTCCAATACTCCTATGTAGTAGAGCATGCATCCTTAATTCTAATAGATGCTTCGTTTGTAACCACTTTAATCCACTCCGTTGAAGTCATCTTCGTGTACTGCTTTTATATTGTTGGATGAACTGTAAGGAGGATAAGAAACAGTAAATGAGAAACGACGTCTTATGTCTTGCTCCTTCTTCTTTTGCTTTGTCAGCTCATTTATTAGCATTAGGCTTTTTATATTTGTAGGAATTGATGCAAGCAATAGAGCTCAACATAGTGCAGTTCAACAGATAGGACAGGCATGTTGGAGCAAATGCTAAATTTATAATACTTTAAAAAATAAAAATAAAAAATAATCATCCCATCAACTTATTATATATTCAATTAACATTAAGAAGATAATTATGTGTTTCATAATTCATAAAGTTGAGCTTCTCTAATGAGCCTTACATAGTGTGAAATCTATTGAGCTGAGGCATGATAAAATTCATCTACTTTAATTAGTTCTAGGATTCGCTTGAACAGTTTTTTTATTGCTTTTTAAAATATTTTTATACTAAAAAGACATTTTAAAAAGTATTGAAAAAAGCTGTCCCAAATAAAACCTTAGCTAATTCCTACAAAATATTATATTTCCATATTTTTTGGTGCACCACACCTATGTTTTTTTTTTTTTCTAATCTTGAATACGAGCTTCTCTTACTCTCTTTTAATAACTTTTTTGTTAAATTTAACGGACATCATCAACATTGTATTTTCTATCATAATGGATTTAGACTTCATTTGAAACATATTTTGATAACTATTTTTTAATTCATTCAAAAAATTTGTGTTAAAAAATTGTTGTATAAAACAAATTTATAATTGCTCCAAATGAAACCTTAGTTATAAATAATAAATATAACTTTCAAAGACTGAAATGTAAATTTTAATATCTAAAACATTCTCTAACTATAAAACCAATTATGTTCTCAAATTTTAATTACTCAAAATTAACTATTAAAATTTAATTATGTTTTCATCTGTATATATATTTTTTACAAAATAAATATAAGTTGTTTTTTTATAATTATGAATTTCATCTCCACCAATGTTATATATTAGAAATATTATTATTATTATTATTATTATTATTATTATTATTATTATTATTATTATTATTATTATTATTATTATTATTATTATTATTATTATTATTATTATTATTATTATTATTATTATTATTATTATTATTATTATTATTATTATTATTATTATTATTATTATTATTATTATTATTATTATTATTATTATTATTATTATTATTATTATTATTATTATTATTATTATTATTATTATTATTATTATTATTATTATTATTATATATATAGTTGATAGAAAGCATTGTTATCTTAATAATAAAATAATATTATTTGTTGCATCGTGGAATATTCATGGCGGTAGAGAAATAAAAAGTTTAACGTCTTAGCTTTGTACGAATATCCAGCACGCATACATATAAAGAGATAGGGTATAGTGTTCATAAGAGACACAAGAGCTTTTACGTTAAACCCCTTGAGAAGGAGGAAAAACCACTAGGCATGGCCAAGTTTGAATGAATCCACTAGTGTTTGCATTCAATTACAAATGATACCCTTCCTTGCGGGGAAGGCTTTGGTTTTATGTAGCAAATATACATCATATAGAGTGCATTACACGGTGGAAATTGGAAGAACAAACAATTGGTTCAGTTTTTACCGCGTAACTTTTGATATGTTTCTGAGGTGCCGAGTGTGCACATTTTAAATATTTTCTAGAGATTTTTGACC